GGCCCGGACACAATTCTCCCAGCAGTGGCTGTCACCAGTGGCTGTCAGCAGTGGGCACATTTCCCAGCCTGCACCGGGGCGGTCTCCCTCGGGCTGATCAGCTCCCTGCGCCGTGCTGCGGCTGTCCATCGTGGTGCACAAAGAGGCGTCTTTGCGGGGTCGGCAGCAAGTTGGCCTCATGACATGGCCCACAAGCTTTGAGGGGACTTTGAGGTGCCTTCCATGACAGCCCAAATCAAACGCACTTATCTTGGGATGCGATCAGGCCTGTGCCAGCTTGAATGCACCCCTTCTTCCAGCCTGGGGATCAAAAGGTTGTGAAGGCCCCTGCGGGGCCGTACGCAGCCTCAATGGGAGCTGTGTGTCTGAAAGCAGGTCAGGACATGCCCCCAGTGCCGGGACAGAGGCAGGGGCAGGGAAGGAGCCAGACCTGCTGTGCTTTTCATCTGGTTGACTCCTGCTGCTCATGCCAGCGGCCACAGGAAGATCTGTTCCCCGACGTGGCCTCAGGACAGGTTCACACGAGGAACGGCTTTGCACGGGACACCAGATAAAAGAGGTGCCTCATCTGGAGATAAAAGAGCTCAGGAGGTTTCATCAGACACGCTGGGGCTGCGGGTTGTCTGCAATTTGCAAGTGTTCAGTTCGGTGACGGGCCCAACCCTGTCAGGGGCAGCTCAGAGCCAGATGACCAGGTGCAGGCCCCATTTCAGCTCCAGGTCAGCGCCAGATGCTGTGCAAGGAGGGGCCTGTGGAAAGTGGCCAAACTCTCCATTAACAGTTGCCAGGGGTTTGGTTGCAGGAGTCCATGGGAGTCTCCCCCGATGGGCCTTGCTGGGCTTTGGCGTGGGCTGCAGAGCCCCGTGTATTGGGGGATGCCAGTTTTCACATGGCTTGGCTCTGTTACAGAGGCTGGATCGCTGGGTGTGAGACAGCAACACCCGCACACATCACAGCCCCTTGCGCCAGGTACTGCATGGAGGAATTACAGCCCCTGCCCCTAAGAGCTCACACTCTAATGACCAGACCAGACTGACAGTGGGTGGGAGGGGAAATCGAGGCAGTAAGCCAGGAGGGGACTTGCCCAAGGTCACTCAGCTGGTCAGTGGCAGAGGCAGCAGCACAACCAGCAGCTCTCCCGAGTCTGTCTGGAACATTAATCACCCACTGGCCCGCACTGCCTAGAAAGATGGAGTATTAGGATCCTGGCCACAGGGAGGAGGTCCGTGTCTCTGAGTTAGCTGGCAGCAGACACTAGCTCCTTCCAACCGAGTCTGAGTCTGGGGAGGCGAGCCCAACGCAGCTCCCCGAGCGCGGTCGGCAAAGCCAACAGCCCGTCTAGCCCAAAGCAGGTACAGGCTGCCCTGGACAGGAACAATCCCTGCCCCCAAAGTCCTGCACGCGCCCAGCTGCTCCAGCTCGGAGCCACACAGGGAGCACTGCGACCCACCGCCCCCAGACACTCCCTGAGGGACGTTTCAAGATGCAAATGCTTGGAGTGTGTGTGTGGGGGAAATCCCCATCCAGCAGCCTAGGCAACGAAGGGCCCACTCATAGGGACCAGGCCTGGGGACACAGATCAGCGCGAATGGAGGGCAGGACATACCCCAGCAGCCAGCCAGGGACTGGCGTGCAAAGGCCGGTTGGTGCTGGCCAGAGGCAGAGAAC